CACACACACACACACACACACACACACACACACACACACATAAGAGCATTTAGAATTTTGCGCAGTTATTTATTAAGATTATCTATTTAAAATCATTGACCTCTTAAAATATGTGTCAAGCGTGTGATATGCACAACGCAATATTCGTATTCGTGATATATTATTTCGTAAAAGATGTGCAAACGAAGCTCATATTAAGCCGGATATCCACGATGCTAAAATCTCGGACGGAGAGAGAATTGACCAATTGCATTTGAGTAATTCGAACAATTTTATCCAATGCGATTGATCAATTCTCTTTCTACCTGAGATTTTAGATCAATTTCTAGCATCGTGGATCAACATAAGGTTTTAGAGGCACAAGACTATGCATTGTACGCGGAAAGAACACTTTTGCTGACAAATCTAAAAATTTGACCAGATACAGATCTGAAAATAATTTTGTTGAACCATCAAAATTATTTTGTAGAACACTTAAATATAATGATAATACTGCAAAAATGTTTGATCTTCTAACAATCAATTTGAACATCCTATATAATAATTTTGAAGGCCCAACAAAATTGTTTTCAGATCTGTATCTAACCAAATTTTTAGATTTGCCAGCAAAGTATTCTTTCCGTGCCATAATTAATTCCTCAATACGTTTTAGCCGGTATCAAATGACACATTGGAAATTGGAGATTGTGTTGGAACTTGAAAAATAGTATTCGATTAGTTAAATAACTTTAACGTTTAACTTAACGTTCAAATTGATTAGAAGATCAAACATTTTTGCAGTATATTATCATTATATTTAAGTGTTCTACAAAATAATTTTGATGGGCCAACAAAATTATTTTCAGATTTGTATCTGATCAAATTTTTAGACTTGCCAGCAAAAGTGTTCTTTCCGTGTATGAATAAACAAAACTATTTCTGTAGATCTCTATAGATCTATATCTATTAATGATCGATTTATAAATATCTATTGTCATCGTATAAAAATATAACTTGTAGATAAAATTTTTTCATGTTATATAAAAGGTGTATCGATGATCAAGCTCCGACTAATCATCGACACGTTGATGTCGAATGAACATTGTATCAACGTCACATTTCTGACTAGGTAGTAGTACGCATTAGATATAAGAGAGGTCACTATATTCCATACTACAATAGAGTTTTCTATAATTCTATATTACAATAACTTGTTAATTAATTTAATTAATCATAATAATAGTTACCATTTTCGCATTTCCTATACATTGTTCAATCATATGCGAATATCATAACCATGAGAATAAAGTCTCCAATTATCGCTCTCTACGCGTAATTATACAATGTAGTAACGTTGTATAATTAAATATACTTATTCCGTTTTTTAAATTCTTGAGAGAAAGAGAGAGAGAGAGAGAGAGAGAGAGAGAGAGAGAGAGAGAGAGAGAGAGAGAGACGACTA